ACCAAAAAAAAAAAAAAAAAAAAGAAGAAGATAGAGTTGGAACTAAGATAATGTAAATAATCATTCATTTTCGTTGTTATATCCCATGGTTTAAGGTTCCTTATGTCTCCGGTATTTACCATTGTGCTTCATTGTTAGTATGAAACAGACCAAGCTGTCTGGTGGTTTAATTTGGCCATATTATTCATTCTTCATTGCTTCTAAATGTCATCAAACTGTGCATACCCTCAATCTTCATGCTAGTGCATCCGTATGGTGTTGTAGATTTCTCTGCAACCTATACAGCAACGGCTACATCCTAAGATACTCTTGTCAGATACTTTTTTCCTGGTTACAAAAACCGCTAATTGTCACTTTCAAATTCTGCAACCGATCATCTTTCCTTAGACCTTTTAGTGGCTTGAAACATTTCTCTTCAAGCACCTTCATTTGCAAGCCTTTTGTTATTCTTCTGTTTAACTCTTGATCACATGCTCGACTATAATGAAAAATGGGTGAACTATTGTATGTTAAGGTTTAATATTGTAATTCTAAATCGTGAAGTCATAAGTAGTATTTCTTAATTTACTTTGGGTTGCATTATTTTTCCATTTATGAATCTTCTGTTGCATACAAATATTGAAGCCTATGTCCCCAATAGTTTGGAATGAGGCTTAGTTGAGTGACTCACCAGAAGCTTATGTAGTCGTTGCTGTGTTCCAAATAAAACTGTAGATAAAACGTATATTTATTGTTTTAACAATTTTTCTGACAGAAATGTGTTCTTACTATTAGATTTTTGGCCTTCTTCGCAAGCAACATTGGTATGAGCCAAGATGCCACACATATGCTAAGCTTTTGGTAATGCTCGGCAAGTGCAAGCAGCCAAATCAAGCTAGCTTGCTTTTTGAGATCATGCTAGCCGATGGGCTTCAACCAACACTAGATGTTTACACTGCACTTGTTAGTGCATATGGCCTTAGTGGCCTCCTTGATGAGGCGCTGCACACCATTGATGATATGAAATCAGTTAGTAATTGCAAGCCCGATGTGTATACTTACTCAATCCTTATTAAGTGCTGCACTAAATTTCGTCGTTTTGATATGATTGAATATATTTTAGCCGAGATGGCATATTTGGGAATTGAATGTACTTCTGTGACTTACAATACCTTAATTGACGGCTATGGTAAAGCTAAGCTGTTTGAGCTGATGGAAAGCTCCTTGTCAGATATGATCGAAAGTGAGACTGCCTCTCCAGATGTTTTCACCTTGAATTCAGTAATTGGGTCCTATGGTAGCTGTGGGAAACTTGAGATAATGGAGAAATGGTTTGAAAAATTTCAGGTAATGGGAATAAAGCCAGATGTTATGACATTTAACATTCTAATCAAGTCATATGGAAGAGCTGGCATGTATCAGAAAATGGAGTCTGTACTTGATTTTATGAGGAACCGGTTCTATTCCCCAACAGTTGTGACATACAATATTATCATTGAGATATTTGGGAAGGCTGGACTTATTATGAACATGGAAGAGTTTTTCCTACAGATGAAGCACCAAGGAGTGAAGCCAACCTCATTCACTTATTGCTCTCTTGTCAGTGCTTATGGTAGAGCTGGACTTCTCGAAAGAGTTGATTCAATCATGAGGCAAGTAGAGAATTCGGACGTAGTTCTGGATACTCCTTTTTTCAATTGCATCATTAGTGCTTATGGTCAAGCTGGTGATATAGAGAGGATGGTGGCATTATTCTTGGAAATGAAGGTCAGAAAATGTAAACCAGACTACATCACATTTTCTACTATGATCCAGGCCTACAATTCACAAGGAATGATCGAAGCTGCCAATGACTTGAAGAGTAAAATGATTACTGCTTGTGGTACTTTGGCTACTCATACTATCCAGTCTCTGTTTTTCCTTATGCATATCATTTTTGCTTCATTGTATGAATCCTCACAGACTTACAGTTAGTAGCATAAAACCGAGCTATTTAAGTTAGCTCCAACACATTTCTGGCTAAATGTAGATGATAATGAAAAAGGTTGTCGTATTCTCTAATAAATCAGCTTTTATTTTTCTCTGTTGTGTGTACTAAGTTATTCTTTCAATTGACTGCTTGATATCTGACACTTTGTTGTTACATTTTCTTAGAATCAAATGAAATGATCAGAAGCTAGTACTATTATTCTGTCACTGGAGGAAAACTTTCACGTGGAATTCTGTTCATCAATGTTGTGTAAGTGCACAGAGTGTTATCTGCATGTGAGCCTGTAAGTGTTTGTGTTCTCTTGTTCATTGTCTCTGCACTTTTGTTTCTGGGAACTCATCTATACTCATTAAATGGCCTAAAGTTGAAAGGCTTTTAAGCAGTCAAAGTGGTGAGCCAAAGTTGAAGGGCTTTCATGCACTCAAAGCTCATGCTTTTGGTTTGTAAGACTGAAGATTAATCTATTTTTATTAAATAGAAATCAAGTTTTTCTTAAACCCAAAAAAGAAAAGGAAAGAAAAGAGAAAGAAGAGAGAGAAGCAGTGATAAGTTGCTCGGACTCGGGTGCGGGTATCCGATACGGGGACGGAGCACCCTATCTTTAGAGTCCGGTAGGTCAATTAAGTTGAAAGGATTTTCAGTCCTTTGCTCTAACCAGCTGAGCTACCTGAACCAACCGAGTATCGGATTCGGCAAAATCTAAATTTTAAGATTCGGGGGTGCGGATCCTGATTACCTGATATAGATACGGGTGCGGGAATTCGGCTAAGAAAATTCAAAATAATAAAAAATAGAGCTATAAAAATATTGTAAATTTTGAGAGATATTATGTGAAAAACTTACATGAATATTGTAGAATTCTATCTTTCATTCTCCAAAAATATGAGACAAAAATACTACAATATTGAAGGTATGCCATTTTCCATAACTTAAATCTGTTTTATTTTTTATTTTCAGAAATCAAAATCTCAATTTTTCTCCCAAATTTGTCGATGGACTCCGGTCAAAGTGTCCGAAGTCAGTTGACCGAATCCGGGACGTATCCCGCCCCCGACCCCGTCTCGTATCGGGACAGGGACGACACCAAAATCGAAGAGTCCGCGCAACTTAGGCTACGATTGATGCCCTGGCAGAGATGCTTTATTAGCTATTACCTCCATTCCAAATTATCTGTCGTGGTTTCTAAAAATAGTTGTCTCAAATTATTTGTCATTTTAGAAGTTCAAGAGTAAATTAATTATTTTTTTCCTATTCTACCCTTAATATTAATTGTTCTTGAAGACTACAAATACCTTAATTATGAGTAAGATAAATGAAAATAGATTATATCTTAAGGCATAAATAAGGGTAAAATAGTCAAAAACCTTTCCTATTTAATATTTTCTTAAGGGGCATGTAAAAGAGAAACATGAGATATAATTTGAGACGGAGGGAGTATTTATTAAAATACATGCATTTACTGGGAAACAACTTTAATATTCTCAAAATAGATTCATTTCAATTATCACCTACATGCCTATTATGAATAAATTGGTGGAACAGATCCACTCAAAGATGTATTTCCTCTCTTTTTGTTTTTTGATGTGAAATATTGTCGCTCTTGTAAATTCTGTTATATTTACATATCTATATATTTACTTATTGAGAAAATACATATCATCTCTATATGTGTTTTGAGTATACTTCATCGTAACACTGTTGATCTATTTGTGTAGAAGGATGGTATAATAATTTTTAAATCAGATGGCATTGATCCAAGGAAAGAACATAGACATAGTGAGTCCATTTGCAGCAGTCAAACTTCTCTTCACATGTTTCTGTTAATTTTAAAGGCCTTAACTCACAACTAGACAGGATTGAAGTTTTAATGGTGGAGAGGGAGGACATGATCAAGGGACGGCAATTTAAGGTTCTAGAGCTCTTGCTGGGCAGCCACTTTGGTGTAACTTCTCTGTATAGCTTTATGGTTTGTCTGCCTGTGTATGAGAGAAGAGAGAAGATAGGTTCTTGTTATCTGGGATCTGACTCACAGCCATTCTCGAGGGTAGGTTCGGAGCAGGTCAGTGATGTAACAGGGCTTTCAAAAGGGCAAACCAATGCACACTGTGGAGCATTATTAAGGCAGACGCTGATTCTTCCTTCTGAATTGGGTCTTTTTACCTCTTACTGGCCGCAAGTCCTGAGTAGCAGAGATATGGAGCATTAAAATGTAAGGCAATTTACCAGCCCTTTGCTTGTAACCTGTTATTGGACATATAATTACAATTCATGTTTAACATATCTCTAAATAATTCAAATGGATTCAGCAGAAGTTTAAGAGAAAAAAAAAACAAAATTTTCCATTAGAAACTGTTGAGTTACTGTCAGTGCTTCTGCCTTGTAATTGCTACTTTTGCTCTTAGAGGGATATTATCTCAGCTGATCCTTGTGGATACGCCAATAGATTCATTCGTACAATATAGTAGGTTCTTTGGTTGACTGAGATTTCAGAAATTTTAATTTATGGGTTACAATTGTGCCCGCTCAGGGCCCCAGGTTGGGTTTTGGAGGATGGTTACACTGGAACTCTTCCCATGCACAAGTATTCGGTAGAATAGTCAATGTGCACACACAATTGGACTAAATACTACAGTACCTTTTAAAAAAGCAAAAATAAAAGAAAGTGCATTTTTTTGATAAGGTAGAACATTATTAATAAAAGGTGGACCAAGAAGGTACACGAGTACAAAATAGATCCAAAAATTCCAGATATTGATCCATACTACCTAATATACACCTATTACACCAGAAAAACAGATTATGCAGACATAAATTTTTGATAGTAAAAATATTATTCTTTTTATTCTCAAAACAAACACTATTTCTTTCTGGCCAAATGGTCCATAAAATGCATAGGGGGGATGGTCCTCCAAAGCTGCTTCTGGGACTTTGAATTATTGTATATGATTGAATTAAATTATTACTCTTTCTGACCATAACTATTAGACTACCACGTCCTTGAGTGACCAACCGAAGATGTACATCTGAGTAATTTGAAGACATCAAATTCTGTTCTCTCAAAGTTTATTCATTTGCTTCATCAAAATGTCATTAGTTACTAGATGTTCTGAGGTAAATTTTTGAATTGGCTCTGCTGAACAATGTAGAGTTAGCTATGAAAAATTTGTTGATATGAATTATAAGAAAATTATTTCTGTTTTACGCATGCTGAGGTTTGTTATATGTGTCATAAATCGGTCATCACGTGTTTAATACCTTAAATAAATATTACTCTTCTTAGGGTTGGTGATAGAAGGGTAAAGCATGAGGACTCGGGGGAAGGGAGTGAGTGAGGAGAATAGCTTAAAAAAATATTTTCCTAAAAAATATTTTCTATTCTCTAACCAAACACTAGAAAATATTTTGCGGAAATTTTTTTTCATTCACCAACCAAACAAGGAAAAATAAATCATAACACCACTTATTTTTCATGAAAACATTTTCCTTCGTACCAAACACACCCTATATTGCACTACATTTGCTCGGTTTGGATCACTGTTTTAAAAGGCGTTTTCGGGGAGAGCTCCGGGGCGAGGCGTACCAAAAATGCCCCGGGGCGATGGTATGGGGCGAAAGTCTCAAGAGGCGTACACCCAGCAATTTGGGGCGTACGCGCCTGGGCGTTCGAGGCGCGTTTTTTTAGTGAGGAGTAAGCTCCAGAGACTTTTTTAAATTAAAACAAAAGGTTTAAAAGTCAGTTTGATAATTACTCAAAAGGTTTAAAAAGAAACTCAAAAATATTAAATTTAAGAGTTAAAATTTTTTTATTGATTGAAGCCCTAATTCATGTCTTTTCCAAATTTTTATCTTGTCTGCTAGTCTGCTAATATCTCCCAAAAGCAATGAATATTTAATTTTTTTTACAAATACAAAGAGAGCTACATTTTCCTTCATAGCAGCAAGTTCAAAGATCAAATTACAGGTTAATCATCCTTTTTGTTCTTCCATATAGAAAACTTTATTCTTTTAGACTCAAATTACTTGTGCTTGTAAGTAGCGTATAATAGATTGTTTTGATTAGTTTTTTGTGGGGCGCGCGCGCGCGCGCGCACACACACACACACACACACACACACACTATATATATATATATATATATATATATATATATATATATA